GTTTTGCAGCTCTTGTTTTGTTGCTTTAACTTAATTTAATGGGTTAAATTTTTGAGGGGAGCAGACTCTGAAAAGAATCTTTCCGGTCTTGATAACATGTCATGACAATACTTAAAATGAAATACAACCTCCAGTTTCCAACCTGTTATTTCCCCTGCAACAATTTCAAATACAGCATTTTAGGGAGCAGTACAAATATATTAGTGAATAAGCAATCTGCAGAAACATAGCAAAAAATACATATTTAAGGTATTTGGTGTTGTTACTTCTGTGCCCAAAGCTTGTTTAAAGGCCCCTTGATTGAAATGATAACATAAATCTTACACAGCTRTTAATCAATTTAGAGTCTGGGCTTGCATGTTACTTTTTTACTAAAGACCATTTGCAGTTATTGCTTTCAAACATGCCAATATTATTTTGTACTATTAGATGGACAACATTGAGTTGAGCASAGAATGACTCCTAAAACTGAGGGGKTTTTTTGCAGTTACAGAAGGGTTTATAATAGTTGTATTATTGTATGTTTCAGTTATAGCATCTCATGAAAATGCTGTTACCACCTTGCTGAAATGCCATGGAAGTAATCTCTTGTTCACTTACTCCTTTTATTCAAAAGGTTGTGTATGAATTTCTGTGGTCAGCAAAGGTGGGGTTTGTTCTGACAAAAGCTGAGCAAAAAGCCAGTCYGAGGAAGCAAAGTATTCCTTTGCTGTGAAGTCAGGTCCTGCCTTCACAAAGCTGAATGACTCATGTGCTGTAATGCTTTCCTGACCCTTGTGGCAGGTGAGGTAACACAGGCTTGAGGGGTGAGAGGAGCAGCATTTTATCTGTGGGAATCAAAGCAGCAGGCGTTACAAGTTTACCGTTTGCTGCCTCCAGTCCTTTCCTCACTCACTGCTGAGTGGGTGTTAAAACCCACCTGATGATGGGCCAGAATGATTTACATAATCTGCTCTGGGCATACCTTCTCTACACAAACTGCTGGGCAAAAACTTGTGCATCCTGGTAGATTGGCATGAGAATAGGAGACTACTTTGCCATAGTGCATCTGGAATTCAGCTGGATAGGTGGTGCACAGAATGAAGATTTTTGTGTTTAGCATGTGGTAAGGGATCCTGTTCCAAAACCCATGGAGCTGGGAAGTGGAATGAAAGACAAAAGTTGGCAAGGGAGTTGGCGCCACCCATGTCTGGTGGAGCAGGGAATCAGCTTCCTGTCCATTGTTTCCCACTCACATTTCACCCCCCTCCCTTAAAACTTTACAGGGGTGGAGTCCCTGCAGTGGCTGCCCTGAATTGCATGCACTGGTGGCAGGAACAATTGGTATGGTTTCTRTTCCTAGGTGGTGTTTCCAGGTGACAATGAAGTTGCAGCTTAAATAAAGTCCTTTTGTCTGTATGTGGTTGGGACAGCTGAGATTAGCTCTTGGTCTTTTTCAAATACTGCTGTAATTTGACAGGTTCATTATGTGCATGCCTGAATCAATCAAAAGTAAAGGGAAATATCAAACTACCAATGAAAAGGTGTTGAAACCATGAGGAATATTTCAATTAATTGTGTTTTGGGACATAATAAACTGTAAATGTATTGAAAGTGAGTTTGGGACATAATGAACTATAAATGTATTGAAAAAACCTACCTAATATTCATAAAGGAAGCTTTTTTTTGTGAGATACTTAGTGAAAAATCATAAAAACATACTATTGGTAGTTTAAAGAGTTTTATTTGGGGATGATCTAAGCTAAAATTGATCTGCTAATTATAAAACATTAGGAAAAGTAAAGTATGAATTTAAGTTGCTGTTAGCTGCAAGATTGCCTTCACTCTGCACATTAKTTTGCTTTTATATTTTAAGAAAACAGTTTTTATATTTGGCATTTAACTGTGGAAACTGTAGAAACGGTATATTTTCAGTGGTGCTGTTTGCATTATAATACTYGTGAAGATAATGGTCTTAAAACTTCTGATTAGCTCCTGCTTTTCAAAATACTACATCTGTTAATGGTTGCATTTTACTAACTTTTTCTGTGGTTATCTCAGTGGAGTACTCCAACCCTGGAATGAGTGCTTGTGGAAAGTATGGCAAAAGTGTACCTTGTACAAATTGCTTCTTAATGTACCATGAATTAATTGTAATATCTGAATTAATTTTAGCTGTAATAATGTTGTAAGTTTTTGTTTACATTCTTTGGAATTGTAGTCAAGCTGCATA